CCCCACCCCCCACCACTCGTGAGGGGCTATGTTCATACAGTCACCATTACTGCTATTAGTACTGCATACTACTATGTGTAGGCATTTCATCACCCCAAATTACATAGTAGAAATCTCTGCTTAAGGCCTAATATACTTCGTTTTTGTACTTGTAAGCTAGCGTATATGCATACAGTCGAACACGCGTAGCATTTCAAAGTATACTCCATTTGAAGTCGTGCACGAACACGGGCGGTCGACGCATGCGCTCTAGAAATCTTCGTCCATGTGCAGTGTCTGCTCGATTGTCATGACTGATAACAAGTATTTTTGAACTCTTTTAAACCAAAGCTGAGCTGTCTCATACCCTCTCGCTCACACGCACGCGCTTGTCAATGTGAGCGTCTGTTGTTGCAGTCGCCGCTATTTTGTTGTCGTTGTCCCGTCTCTTTAGTTTCGTTTTTACTGTGAAAGAATGGCCCGGGACAGTGTTGCCACTATGTGGAAAAACAGATTACAGCAAAATGACTTCAGTGCACATGTGCAACCTGAGCAAAGTACAAAGTACGCGCGGTTACAACAATCAGGTGGTGCATGTACAGTACGCGCGTACTGTTCTGATGACGCAATTCCCGTATGCTGTCCCTCGCGTACGCGTAAAAAGTGAAGTATACTTTGGGCTTTAGCCACACAGTGCTTTTTTACCAGATTTGTCTGTCATAGGAGGTACTTTAATCAGAAGGGGCAATATTCAGTCATCATTCAGGCTGTGGTAGACAACAAAATGAAGTTTTGGGACATGAGCCAGGAAGAGTCCACGATGCTTGTGTTTTTGCCCTTTCATCTCTTTTTGATGTTAGCCAGAGCAGCAGACTGTTGCCACAGTGGATTGAAATATTTGAGGGAGTAAATGTGCCTCTTATGATCTTAGGAGATGCTGCCTATCCATTATTTCTCTGGTCGGCCGAATAATTTCAGCATGTTGTGTATTCCACAACTTTTGTGAAGTCCACAATGAAATGTTCAATGAGAGAGTCTATGAAGAGGATGAAGGTGAAGTGGATGACAGAGAGAATCGTGAGCAGGCCGGAGACCAGAGGGCTCAGGATATTAGAAATGCACCGTGTGCCTATTTTTCAAGCCTGTAGGGGTAATGTTATGGTCCCTATAGAATTTTGTCAGTCAAAGTGAAGAAATCTTTTGCTTGTAATTGTTTTGATTCTAATTTAATTGTTGTTCATATGTAGCGTTGCACACATAGTGTGTGTATGTGGGTCACAGCAGAATACTTCACCAGCAGCCAAGGTTTCTTCAGAGTAGCTGCTAGAAGGAGATGGAGTCCTTTGGCTTGATGAGGTCTTGTCTGTAGGGCTATACGACTCGACAATGTCCACGGTACAAACTGTTGGTCGTGTTCCTAGGATTCTGTCCAGTTCGTCGTACCATGGACATTTGTCTTTTTCTTCTCCGGAACTGCCACTCTTGTTTAGAGCATCGCGCACCTTCATATAATGTTTTTTTACTTTAACGCAACACTGTGTGGGAGACCGCTCAAATCCCCTCTCCTTCATCCGTTGCTGAACTTGCTGAACACATCCGCATTTTTATGCGTCTTCTCCAGAAGCTGTGATGTATAGGCATCTGCCCAAATATCAATTCTTTCTTTTGGTGTTTTGTATGTTCAGATATTCATATAACAAAATAAATGCTAATTAATACCTAAATAGGCACATAGTAGTATACTTAAAGTATGATGCAAAGTTCACTTAAAGAAAACTTACGAGTATACTTGCAGTATAAAACTACTAAACTAGTAGTTTACTGAGACTATACTTCAAAGTGTACTAAAAATGCTACTACAAGTATTTAATTAGTAAACTATCGGTATTCATATAAGTTCACTTTTAGTATAGTTGCAGTACAAGCTAAAAAATATTGTTGTGTACTTAAAGTTTACTACTGTTGTACTTAAAGTAGTATACTTTTATATACTAGAAAGTGGGCCAATTTAGTCCCAAGGAGTATTGAAATAGTACAAATAGTACTATATAGTACACTTACAAGTATACACTGATATTTGTATACTTGCTACATAAAGTATACTTAAAAATATACTTGAACTTTACTTAAGTATACTTAATAAAATAAACTTGAAGTATACTACTTTGTGGTAAGCGGGGGTAGCCACTATCTCCAATGAGAAAAAAGCTAGGTGGAGGGTACGACCGTGAGACAGATACAGGACTGTTTTTAAGACCCTGGAATCATGCACGGAGCCAACAAATATGCCCAAAAACTTTGTGCTGGGGTCGAAAATTGCCTGGAGGAGAATTGATGGGTAAAGTTTTCTACTAAAGTAGCACTGACCTAAACCTTTTCCTGGAGCTCGTATCCATGGCTCCTACTGGCCCTCCTTTTGCCTTTATTTATTTGATTTGATTTGTTTGCTGTGTTCAGTTGTTCAATTAAAGTTTTATTAAAATGTTAACTGTGTATTAAGACTTTTATGAAAACACTGAATGGAAAATGGCTAAAATAGAAGGCTCCGAGTGACACTTAAACGAAGAGCCATTTGGGAGCCGAGCCAAAAGATCCGAATCTTTTGAAAAGAGCCGGACTTGCCCTCACTCCGTCTCGCTGCGATGACGTCACCACCGGCGCCCTCCGTCTCCTGAGGTGAGGTAAACAATACACTTTACACAGTTATAGTTAAAGCGACGTTTTACGGAGTCATTCGTGTGGTACATTGCTATTATTATGAAATACACGTTTAGCTTTGCGTGCAGCGATGCGAGGAGCTACTGTTAAATTCAGTAAGACTCCTGTGTGTGATTGTTTCGATGTTTAATGTAAAACGAGTTTATTTTTCTTGTCTCAGTTGAACTCCTCTCACTAAGTTACAGGTGAAGAGCATAAAGGATTACAGAGAACATGAATGCTCCAGAACCCTGCGGAATAAAGCAAGAAGACACCGAAGAACAAATAGGTTGGTGTTTATTCTGGATTCCTCAATAAGGTTATAAAACGTCAAGCACTTTGACGAGTATGGTTTGTTTATCAAACAGCAAAAGACAAAATCACTCCCTGCTCTGGACTCTTTTGTAGCGTCATTAGTGATTAATCTATATTTGATGTACTCCGCTAATACTGTGCAGTGCTACTTTACATTATACAACAGTTCGTTCTGGTTCTCAAATCTGATTGGTTGAGAACCGTGAGATATCGCTACAGGAACGCCCCTTTCACCGCTTGTATTTATTTTATTATTATTCACTGAGCTAATCATAGAGTAATAAGAAGAAACGTCTAGCTTCGCGGTCTCTCATTTGGATGCACGACTTGCCGCATTGTTTTTCTCTTATAACCTCATTATTTCTCACTAATAACCGAACTGAAGCAGCACATGCCCTTGATACGGATTCTAAACGTGACGTATGTTTAACTGTCAGCTTGAGCTTTGAATCCGTGGCGGAAGGAAGTAGAACATGCGTTTTCGTCGATCCGATCGCAAGTGGACAACGCTAAGAAGAGCTGCACAATTAATCGAATTTATAATCGCGATTACAATTACGGAATGCCACAATTATGTAAGCGTTCAAAGCGGCGATTAATCGTTCGAAGTCTACTTATGTGCTTAAATTGCGTTTTTTTTCTTTCTACATGTTATCTTAAGGGAAACAACCAATATTAGTTGATATTCGAGGCTTAATACTATAGTAAAGCACTAACGTTTTTTTCAGTTAGAAGTTAGAGATAAAAATACGGCATGCAGTTGCATAAAACAATGGTATAAACATCATTCAATGTAAATTGTGATAATCGTAATTAATAATCGCAATTACAATTTCAAG